AGTACAGTGAAAGTTCCATGGCCCACAGTGAGACTGAAGCTTTCTTTGTGTCATGCAGAAACCACAACTGACATTCAAGTAAGTGACTTCTTCCCAGGAATTGAAATTTGAGACTCCATCCTTCAAACTAGGAAGAAGATGGAGAATGGAAAAACAAACAAGAAAACTAGACAGAATTTACTTGCTCTGTTTGAAAAGAAAGTCAAATCAGCACTTAGGTTGCTGGACTCAAATCCGTTCCTGTTTATGGTTCCCTGGGCCTGGGTGATCTCTCTCCTATATATTTTCTAAATCCTTCTGATTCTCCTTGTCTTGGAGACCTAATCAAGAGACCTGCATGGAATTTCTTTTCTAATGAGAAAAGACTCATTAGGATCACCTGAGCATCTTCAGGATCTGGTCCTGGTGACCTCTGCAGAGTCTTTTGTCCCCGATAAATGACACTTGAGTATTGATACAAGTGAGAAAGAATCTTCCTATTAAAGGCTTTTATTGCTTCATTGAATTACACAATTATGACATAAAATAACAATGTGCTTCATTGTGATGTTTTTATGTATGAATACTATATACTTTGCTCAAATGGGTTCCCAGGTACCCAATTCCACTTCTCTAGCACTACTTTGTGCCCCTTTCCTTTCTACTGCTCGTCTCTTTTCTGCTCCAATGTCACTTTGTGAACCTGAATCCACATATGAAAGCAAACATGCAGTTGTTGTCCTTCTATTTCTGCCTTATTTCTGTTAGCATAAAAATCTGTCGATGCACAGATAAAAACAAATTTTTCAAATTCAGAAACATCAGTATTTAAGCACAAAACAAGGAAACAAAGTCTCCTATGGAATACAGCCCTATGTAGAGGAAGCCCCAGACCCTGACAGGAAAGAAAAAAAATATAATGTATATATAAATATATATATATATAGTGTATAATATATAATTATATATAATATATATATATATATATATATAATAGTGTATAATTCTGCTAGGAAGAATAATGAATTTGTGATGGTTCCATGAAAATGCATAGAACTGGAGACTATCATTTGAGCAAGAGAAGGTGACCTCAAAAGGCCAAAGATCATGCTTTCTCATATATGAGGACTTTAGACCTAAAATGATAATGACAATAATAATTATACAGAATAATACTGATACATGAATGTACAGGGGATGCTGGCAGATGGAGAAGTAGGTGGGAGGGTCAAGGGGAAAAGAGAGGTGACTGCAGGGGTTAATAGGTTCAAAGTATGTATATATATATATATATATATATATATATATATCTATAGATGGATAGATAGATAACTGAATGAAACCAACGGAATACATTTTCAAAAGGAGAGGTGCAAAGAAGGTTAAGAATGCAAAACACCATAACATGAGGATGATTTTATAGAAGTAAACAGTACTCACATAGCAAAATGCCTCAATGAAACACCGTGTACAATTAATGCATGCTAATGCATTTTAATTATGTGTAAAAATGAAGGCACACTATATCAAAATCTGTTATAAACATCAAAAACTATATGAAGAGGGAAGTTGATAGCACTCAGTGCCTAGATATAAAGCAGAAACATCCCAAGTAAAAAACCTATCATTGTATTTTACAGCAGAAGTAAAATAAGGGAGAATAAAACTCAGAATTAAGAGAAGGAAAAAAATACTAAACATTAAAATAAAATGAATTAGAGGCCAAGTGAGGCATGGTGGCTCAAGCCACCTTGGGAGCTCAAGTCTCCTAGCTATCTGGAGGCTAGGAATATCATGGTGGAGCCCAGCCCAGGGTAAATGTTCAAAGATTCAAACTCAACAAATGGCTGGGTGAGTAGCACACCTGCCACATACCTATGTGAGGAAGTACAAATATGAGGACATGATCCAGGCAATTCCTGCTTATAGCAAGTACCTCTATAAAAATACGTAAAAGACGGGAGTGCTGGCATAGTTACTCAGGTAGTATTGCGTGTCTGTATCAAGCTTAAGGATCTGAGTTCAAGACCCCAGTACTGATAAAAGTAAACAAGTAAATGGTGAAGAAAAGAAGGGAAGAAGGGAGGTAGGAGTGAAGGAACAGAAGAGTAAAGGAAGAAAGAAAGGAAAGAAAAAAGGAAGGAAGGAATTAAGGAGTAGGTAAATTAGAGTTCTATAATTTTTTTTACATTTCAAGAGAAAAAAGGCCTGGTGGGTTCTAAATACAAACACAACTGAGCATTCCTTAGGCTAAGTAAGAAACAGAGTGTAGACTCAAGTAAGTGAGATACAGATGAAGGGGAACACAGTACTACAGACTGCACAGAAAAAATATCACTATATATTATTATGAACAATTGAAAGCCAAAAATTTTGATAACCTGTTGTACACCTTCCCAAGGCTGAATCAGTAAAAACTAGAAAACCTGAAAGACTGAACAAAAACCAGTAATAAGACTGAGTCTATGATTAATAAAAATTATGCAATGAAAGGATCCCAGGACTGATGGCTTCTCTCCTGAGTCTTACCCAATATTGAAGAAAGAACAGATAAAAAGACTTCTTCAGTCATTCTGTCATTCTAAACAATGGAAGTGGAGGGTTTTTCTAAATTCACTTTGTGAGTCCTGCACACTATGATACCAAAAACAGGTGATGACAGGAATCCATTCAAAATTAATGCAAAATCACAAGTTGCATCAAATACAGCCATAAATAAAATAGGATATTGTAAGCAAACCTAATCAGAGATGTAAGATCTATATCAAGGAAAGTATACAAAAGACAAGAAACAAAACAAAAATATAGAAGAAATTTGTGTTCATTTGTTGACATACCTAATATCATTAAGATCTTAAGACTATTCAAGAAATATTAGTGAAGCTCTGAAAAATCTTAAAATTTGTATGAAACCACAAAAATACCCATTTTAGCAAAAAGAATAAAGTACAAAGCATTGCCCTACGTGGATGCAAAGTATAGTAGAGTAATTAACACAGCAGGACATTGGCATAAACACAACAGATACACAGACGACAGAGAGCAGAGAGCTAGAAGTTACTTGTGTGTCTACAGCCATGGTAGTTCTGACAAAGTGCTATGAATGCACAATGGAGTCAGGGCAGTATTTATAATAGATGGTTCTGGGAAAATATGATATCCACAGGTTGAAGAATGGAGGTAGACCACAATCCTAACCAGTTACAAAGATCAATTGAAAATGGCTTAAAACATAAATCCAAGATTCTTCCTGTGAAGCTACTGGAATAGGAAATGGAGGAAATCCTTCAAGTCAGTGGAAATGTCAAGGAATTTTTGGACAGGACTACAAATATCAGGAATCAAGGTCAAAATTGACAAATAAGATTATTCCAAACTAAAAATCTTCTGCACAACATTGGAAACAATCAACACATGAAGAGGAAAACTTGAATATAGAAGGAAATATATTAAACCATGTATCTGAAAAGTGGTGGATGTCTATAATATATATAATGAACTCCAAAATATCATTCCTAAAAATAACTTAATTAAAAACCCACCAACAGATATAAACATTTTTCAAAGAAAGACACAGTCATGACAATATGTAAGTTTTCATGAAAAAGTGTTCAATGTCACTATTCTCATGGGTACTAAACTCAAAACCACCATGAAGCTGAGTGTTTGTGCATGTCTGAAATCCCAGCTACTCAGGATATAGGAGGAGAATGGTAGCACATTTGAGAACAGTACTGGCAGAGTTTGAGATACAGTGACCGTCCCCGTGATTCATGCTTACAATCTTTGCTTCTCAGGAGTCAGAGATTAGCATGATTGTGGTTCTAGCCAGCCCAGGCAAATAGTTCATGAGGCCCAATCTTGAATAAAACCATCACAAAAAAAGGTTGGTGGAGCAACTGGTGGTGTAGGTCCTGAGTTCAAACCACAGTACCACAAAAACACAAACAAAAGGTCTGGGATGTGATACAAGAGGTAGAGTAGTTGCTTAGCTTGTTCAAGGCCCTCATACTAGCAGCAAAATAAATGTGATTAATTTCCAGGGTGACAGTCATCATAACAGAGCCACAGGACACAGCTCACAAGAGACCTAGATGCTGTTCCCTGAGGTGTCCTATCTAAAGGTCTCCCCACAGTTACAGGGATTTAGTTGATTCCTTGAAAGAAAAGGCAGAGCAAGGTGAGCTCTGTGCCCACATCCTGTGTTGCCTGATCATCTTAACCACGACACCCAAGGCCCACCTTGATTTCTCAGGAGTCACCTTGCCCAGAGGACAGCAGGAAGCCCTGGGAAGGAAAGTGGAATTTCTCATCAGTCTATCTCTGGGTTCTTCAACAGCTGAACCCTGAGACACACCTGAGCTAACAGTACATGGAGTAACACTGGGATTTAGATCTCAGGGTTCACAAGGTGCATTTTCTGATTGAACAAGCAGAAAAGCAGGGTGTAAAATGTGTTCTTGAATAATAATTTGAATTAAATTGGGGTAAAACAGTAGAAATGGTTTGTGTGGTACAGATGTGCACAGTTCTACAGGAGGAATGGGGGAAGACTTGAGACCTATTATGTTTTATGGGTAAGTGATCTGCCTTCTCCTCCCTCTTACACACAACGTGAATCTCCAACTCTATCGTAACCAGGGATACCACGGATTCTCTGCCGGACTGACATGAAAAGAGTCACCAGCATCCAGGAACTTGTTCAGAATCTGCTATGGGTGATGACAGTGGAGAATCTCCTAGTGCACTGAGCGCCCCCTGCTTGTCTTGATCCCTTCGCAGCAAGGAAGTTTGTGTCTGGGCTCTAACTGTAGTTTATCCAAGGTGTCTTTTGCACAGTAATACACAGCCATGTCCTCAGCACTCAGGCTGTTCATTTGCAGGTACAGCATGCTCTTGTCATTGTCTCTGGAGATGGTGAATCGGCCTTTCACAGATGCATTGTATTCTGTTGTGTAACTTTTAGCTTTGTTTCTACTGAAACCCACCCACTCCAGTCCCTTCGCTGGAGCTTGGCGTACCCAATTCATGTAGTAATCACTGAAGGTGAATCCAGAGGCTGCACAGGAGAGTCTCATGGATCCTCCAGGCTGCACCAAGCCTCCCCCAGGCTCCACCAGTTGCACCTCACACTGGACACCTGCAAACACAGAGAGTTCTGGTCAGGAAGCTGTCACAAATACTGACTGTTCTCTCGCTCATGTCCACTCACACTCAGTATCTCTTGTTCTCCATCAATCACCTTTAAAAATAGCAAACAAGGAAAACCCAGTTAAGCTCCAACTGCATGGTGAGTGGTCTGTATTCTTGACTGATCACAGAATCGGGTTAGTGGGGAATCCAGGACTGGGCTCCTCTCCCAGAGTTGCCGGGTCAGGGCTGGGCTGGTACTTATGGAGAGAAGGAAGTATGATTTGCATGCCTGTTTGCTATATAACAGGCTCCGGTGTTGGGTGTCAAAGAGAAGGCGCTGCCAAGCTGCTGTGGGTGTGCTGAGAGAAATGTGCAATCATTGATAATATCTAGTAAGTGCAATTTTTGTTGGTGCTTTAGTAGTCAGTGAACATTCATTATTTTATCGCAGTGTTAGTATGCATGCTGTCATGCATTCCACTCACTTCTCACATGATACAAACATGCAGAGTCAAAAGCTGAAAGATGTGTGATATGATAAGAGCTCATATCTGCTAAACACAAACTCAAGTGTTTGGACCTGTAGTCCCTCCCACAGTCCTCAACTTCCTCTGCCTCTAAGGGAGATCCAAGGTAGAGATGGACATGCTTAGTGATGGGTCCACCTCTCTTCCTCTGTAGAGAAAAGGATGCCATTGTCATACATCCTGTGCTTCTCTAAACATAGACCAGCAATGAAGATTCTCTGAAGCATCACTCAGGAGTCTCCAACATTTCCTGTGTTATTATCTTCCCATCATTACCTGCCTAAATTTACTGTTGCTTATTTGTAATAGATTTAATGAAGTATAACTTGTGCAGCATCATGCATATGTAAATGTGTACTATGTGATAACAATCTATAAAACCATCACCATTACCAACACAGAACCAAATCTATTTCCCTCAACACTGCCTCTCATTTCTCTGCAATTTCTCCTTTCTCCAATTTCCTTTCTCCTACAATGTCCCTGGGCAACTTCTGATATTAGTTTTTCTAATTTAATTAGTTCTATTGCTCTGGAATGTATAATAGTATATAATATATACTTTGCTTTGGTTTATTTTACTAATAAGGAACACTTGTGAACTTAAGCATGTTTTACAAAGTACACATTCATTGGTTGTAATGAATGGTGTTTCTTAAATGAACACATTAATCAAAACTTGTTTGACAATTAGGCTACCTTTTGAAAAATGCAGGCAGCAGGGATAAATTGCATTTTAGCATACAAAAAGTTCCAAATTGTCAGCTTTTCTTCAATACTTCAGCTAATGGAAATTATAGAAAAAAACAATACAGGAGGATCAAATCAGAAAATCACAGCATATTCAGGTACAGATCTAAAGACTTGTATTCCTGACTTGTGAATCTGGGAAACTTCTTGAAAATATCCTTCCTGCTGGTAATTGTTGCAGGTATCAGATACATGCTCCCTCTCAATTTGGATCAGGTCCTGAGCTAAGACAAACCCGCTGCATTGTGATTATTCAAATTACTTGAGGCAGCTCTGGTAAATACACATAAGACTATGCTCTGAGCATCCTACAACCACCCCCTTTTCTATAGAATCCTGACATCACAGATCCCCACCATGGGCGACAGCTGGAGCTTCTTCTTTTGGGTGGCAGATGCTCCAGGAAAGGGGCTCTCCAGTCCCAGGCTTGAAAAGGGGCAAGAGTCTAATGTGGGATTGATGCACACCACCTCCTCTCCACAGGAGTTCATGCCCAGGTCCTGCATGAATAGTCTAAAGCTGTTGTGAGGAGGCCAGGGGACTCCCTGAAAGTGAAAGTTTCCTGCAAGACAGTCAGTTTCACCTTCATCAGCTACAATATGCACTGGGTGAGGCAGACACCCAGACAGGGACTTCAGAGGATGGGCAGGATGACTCTGAGAATGGTCCAACCAGATAGGTAACTCACCAACCCACACTTCATCTTTTCCAGAGAGATCATGACATGTTTATGAAGATTAAAGTTGGTTTCCATTTTTTGTGCTTGACATCAATATCACATAGAGTTTTTATTTTTATTAACTTGTCATGTTAACTCATAATCTTCATTCAAAAAAGCACATTTTTTTGTGTATTGGGCACTGATGGATTTGAACATGGAGTGATTTCACAGTCTATGAAAACAGTTTATTATTCTAATTGACCTCTTCATTGGTGTTTAAAATTGTACTCACTTTACGATTTTTACAAAATAAACTTTTAATAACAATTCATATGTAGTGATCTGAGAAAAAGTTGGTCTTCCACTAACAACAAGCACAACAATAACAAGAATCTGGGAAAAATTTCAAACTAACAAATTCCCTTCAGCTCCAATTACTTCACTTCTTAAAAATATCAGATTAAGTTTTAATGCATGCACATTGCCAATCCATGCATTCAAATCGTAGCTTCCCATAATTTACCCCAATACTATCCTTCTCACATATTAATACATTAATTTCTTCTATATAGATCTAGAATTTTAGCTCACTTACGCATCAGTTTAAAGGTTTAAATCATCATCTGATCAGATGTGAGTGAGACTCCAGGTATGATTCTCCCCAGTGCACTTGTTAAATAGAAAGTGTTGAGTCCTTCCATAATGTGAGCATAGAATAGACATTCAATTAAAAAGGGATAATAGAAAGGAAGTAAGTGATAACAAGTCTGATGAATCCAAAGTCCCACTGGACAGTATTGAACCTTGGGCTCTGGATTTATCTCCTTAGATGTCCATGCACACTGTGATGGATTTTGGCTTTGCTTGGTGGTGTGCCCATGGTGCAGGTCCATGTGTTTATCATATGGCATCTCTTAATCTCATTCCAAATGCATTATGTTCTCTTTAACTTGATTTATTCCTCTGTGGTTGAGCTGTCCAGTATCTCCAAGTGCTGTGTGTAAAGATGACAGATAGTACCTACTACAGGAGGATCCTGAGGAACTGACTGATGAGGTGTTGTTGGAAGAGAACAGAATGGGAGAGGTGAAGAAAGTCAGGAGAAGATGAAAGTGCAGTAGATTAATGAATGAATGTCCTACAAGGAAACTCACAGTTGGGTTAACAGATGTTTTTGCAGACTTCAACAATCTCCTCTCATTGCTTTCACATATGGCGCCCAATGACGACATGTTTTCATTAGTACACAGGAACATGCATGGTACAATGTGTGCTTTGATATATTACATGATTAGAAAGAGACACACCAAGTAAATATTCATGACATGTCTCTGAAAGTGTGATACCTCCTTAATTAAAGCCTGAGCTGATCTTGGGGCTCTGTGAATACACTGCTATCCAGGAGGTGAATGTTGCTGTTATATTGTTGCCACTGAACTCCTTCCACTACTTGAGGCATGGAGGTGGGTGGCATTGATTCCGGTAGTCCTGACCTGTGCAGAACCAGGCTTATGTCAATGTTGGTTTATTAATTAACATATTGAAAGAGTACATTAAAATTAATTTATATTTCAAGAAATACACTAAATTGTATAAGGTTATTGCACTGAGTGTAGAGTACACATGAAGTCTACAGTGAGCACTGAAGTGTCCTCACCTCCCATCCATTCCCACTCACTGACTGACTACCTGAACAACTCCAGTTCTGCAGGATCCATTCATAGTAAGTGCTGTCATGTTTGCCTGCAAATTATACCCTGGGGCCATGTGTGTAGTCATCTTCTCAGTGTGCTAGTGTGGATTCATGGTATTTTATAAGGTGGACCACAGGGAAATCCACTTGTCTGGGTGCTGATCTAGGATATATTGATGTAGTTCTTGTGGAATTTGTGTGAGTTCTCATGAGAGTGAGTTTATGCAAGAATACCCTGTACCTGGTTGACAACCTGCATACTGTCTCACTGTGAACTTATTCAGGTTCACACATTCCTGCTATCAAGGTTCCATCTCTATGAGGTTCTCACCAGAGCAAGTTAATGCTGTGCCACACATTGAATCTACAGAAATGTGAGAGGAATACAAGTGTTCTGGTGTTTCAAGTTATTTGTTCTAAGAACAAAAGTTAACTTCTTTATGCCTACAGTTGTGGATGATTTTACCTTAAAATGATTGTCATGATGATTATAATGATGATGGTTATGGTACTAAGGTTTCAACTCAAAGTTTTGCACTTTATAGATGAGCACTCTACAGTTTGAGCTATGCCTCCAATTATATTTGCGTTTTTCCTAAGTAAACTACTTTGTGATCTTCCTACTATAGGCATAAACAACTCACTGAGCTGACAAACATGTGCCAACAGGCTTCTAATTTTTTCCATCAGATTCGGACTTGAGGATCATGCTTGGTTGTCCTCCAACTGATCCTCTTTAATTATTATAGCTTTGGATGACAGGCATCCTTCATTTTCCCCATAAGTTATGATTACATTTGTGAGACATGAGTGCCACACCATATTTTGAATATTGTCTTTAATGTTCCTTTAAGTTTAGATATTTTACTACTTACATTTGACATTGTAATTCTATTTCCTCTAGATTTAAGTAAGTCAACTGTTGTTCAAGTCTGAAGTGTAGGAGCAACAGGTTTCACTATAGCCTAGGTTTGCAGCAGGCAGGATGCCCATGTTTGTGTAGGCTCACTCTATGTCATCACACAATGACAAATTATCTAAACATATCCTCCTCATTCAGTGACACATGATTGTATCTGATAAGGTTGATATTCACTCTAAATTCTTACATGGAACAGTCCATTTTTGACACTTCCAGCTTGTCAAGCAAGCACCTCCAATCCCTTTCACCCTCTGCCCATTTCGTAGCTCCAATGATCAGTACACATCTTCAGATTTTTCTAAAAGCTGCATCACCACCCTGCTACTATACATATCTTGGTCTGTTTGTCCTTCTTTGAGAAAATACAATAACCTTGGTAATTTTAAAATCATAGACATCTCCTGCTCACAGTTGTGGAGGTTGTGAAGTCCTAGTCCAGTGTTCTGGTGATGAACCTGGAAAGGCTGGCTTCTGTCTTCCAAGGTGACATCTTGTTGCCACATCCTCACATTGTGAGGGAGATAAGCACAGCACAGTCACATGGTGGAAAGAAGGAACAGTGACAATCTCAAGTTCTCAAGATATTTATAAGAGCATGAAGGCAGAGTGCTCATGGGGACTGACGTAAGATAATCCTCACTGTAGTCTCAGCGTTTAATAAACATTGATGCCATGCACACCTGGGCAGTCTTCCACAAGGAGCACAGAGAGCACAGAGAGCACAGCCATGACTTTGAAATTTTGCCTTTGCTCTACTGTCCTTATTTCCTCCTTTGCTCCTTTCCCACCATGTTCCCAAGCAGTTCCTTGTATTGACATCCTTTGTTCCTCTAGGTCAGGATTCAGGTTCTAGAAGTTAAGGAAGTGAAGCCTTGCATTATGCACTTCTCTTTTATCTGTCACTGGGCATGATTAATCATGAATGCCACAGTGCCGAGGCATTTACAGGGTTAATGATGGCTCATATTTTATGAGTTAATTAGATACAAATTGTTTACATGTTGAATTGCTTATGGGTATTGAATTGTTCTCAGGTTCTGATTCTACAAGTAAAGCTTCAACTGAGCCTAGCAAGGTGGGCTTCTGTGAATCCAGCTGCTCTCTTTCATAAAGCAGCAAACAAAGCAGGAAACACTGATTATTGGTATAGAACCCACAGTCCATCAGAGATCAATAATTATAAGCAGATCACTAACCTTCTGGGTGCAGACAGTGCTCAGAGAGAAACTCAGTACATAGGAATGATGCCACATGGCAGATGCAATCAGAAATAACAAGCTAGTACAACCTTACAGAAGAAAATTTCCAAGGACTCCAGAAGGTCATGAGTTCAAAATATGCTATATTCATAAGTGTTCTGAAAATTTACATCAGCAGGGTTACAGTTCAATTCAAGGTTTTGTTTCCTGGTTTAGGGTTTGTTCTAGTTCTCCACTAACCTCAATAGTTCTGCCCCAAGAGAAGTACATGCACCTCTACCCTACTGTGCAATACTCACCACTCATCACTATAACAGAAATACATAACCTTCAGGGTTGAGACTTCAGAGCCAGCAACTTGGACATGAGGGAGAACAGAGGTCTGGGGGAAAGAGAGTGTGAAGAGATGGAACTCATCCCAAAGCCACCTCTCCTCTGTTCCTAAGTAGTAAGTGCTTCACCTCAATCAGGACAGCACACCAGGAAGCTGAGCACACTGTGGGAACCCTTGCATCTGTGGTAGTGAAGAACCGGAAAAAGCAAAAGCAAAGCCCACTCTAGGTTACAGGTAATGTATCAGGGTCCCAGGTCACTTCCGTGTCCCTTTCCCATACATTCACAATTATCAAGTGAGTGTAAACCTGAAGTGGACCTGGACAGGCAGAGTGAACTAGATCTTCTTGAGTAGAACAAAGTACCCTCTTCTGGGGTGCAAAGAAGAGGTAACTTAGTTCTGGTTTTCAAAGTCCTCAAAACGCCCAGCAACACTCTAATTTTTTAGAAATTCCACAGAACAATCCTATGAGGCAGCAGGTGTGGTTATCTCTAGAATAAAATAAGACAGTAATGTGCTAACATACAGTGTGGTCTTAAGCGTATAGGAATTAGAGAAAATAAAACTGACAGGATAACAAGAAGACAAAACTCATATGAAGAGAGAATCAGAATGACAATTCATACAGATTTGGGACACATGAAATTGAGCAGAAAAGTGAAAAACTTCATAAATACTGTGAGACATTGTGAAGAAAGTGTAGACTTAATGAAGGTCAGCTAGGCAAGTCAGCCTAGGGGTGGAACTGAAGGAAAATGAAGTGGAAATGCCTGGTGAAATCACAATGAACACAAGGAGAATTGCACACCTTTCACAGGTTCATTATAGGATTGGAGTCCACGTTGAAAATAAGCAGAAGCTGAGGACCTGCATGAGGGAAAACTGCAACATAAAGAGATAGTTGAGACTTCCAGAGACCACCAAGACCTGAGGCATGTGATACCTGAGGGTATGAGCTGTAACACTAGGAGGGAGAAGAGTTCTAGACAGAGACACAGTGCAGAGTCTGCAAGAACCTATGGGGAGAGTAGAAAGAATGAGAAGATGACTACACAGGAAAGCTTAGACTGTTGACAGGAGAGGAAAAGAAGGATTCTGGGTAGACATGAGACTTTGATGGCTGTAAGCCTCTTCACTAGATGAGCTCATGGTAGCCTCTTGGTGTTCAGGAGCTGATTGGGTCAACAGTGGAAGCCCAGACCAATAAGGATGTCTCACACTCTCTCACATCCAAATACTGAACTTCACAAAGGACACCTGAAAACTCAGAGAAACCAGATGAAACTGTCACAAGTGATCTTGATGCACTAGGGAAATTGCATTCAGCATAATGAGAAGGGAAGCCAAGGCCAGCACAAAAATCAGGTTGTTGACATTGAGGAAGGACTTAGGCTTAGGGTGGCCCCACTCCAGGATCTATAGGGTTGAGAGGTGAGCAGCTTTCATGAGTGGGATGGACTATGTCTGTGACTTTCTCCCTATACACACACAGAATGCCCTGCTGTGCTCATAACTCCTGCCATCTGGACTCCAAGAGGGCAGGTGACAGTATCTCCTGGGTTTTTCTGCTCAGGGTGACTGCTGATCTACCTTCGTTTTATCTATTGTGCACATGAGCAGGTGTGATTAAGGGATGGACACTTATCACCTTAACAAAATAGCCCAGTGTGATATCCTCCTGCTGCATGATGCCCATCAGTATGCTGGATTGGACTTCTGGTATAGGTGTAGCAGGGTCAGTCTGCAGTACTCCTCAAAGTCACAGAGGAAGAGGTGACTCCATGACAGACTGGACAGAGCAAGGTCATCTCTGTGCTCACATTAAATTTTGTCTGTCAGTGTTTTCACGGGTTAATAATGACCATGTTCATTTCCCACAAGAGTCCTTTCACAGAGTACAGCAGAAGGGCCCTGGGCTGTGGGGACTGGGAGATCTCTCCAGCCTTTCCCTCCAGCCTACTGGAGACACTGCTTGAGACCCACCTGAACTCCAGCTATGTGGGCTTTGTCCCGGGGTATTGAGCACAGATGTCACAAATAACATTTTCTGGATGAAAAAAGGAAAATGGGATATGTAAAAAGGATTGTTACTGAGCAAGAAAAATGAATTAAATAATATATATAGGTCAGTTTGAGGCCATTGTGCCTACTTCCTCACAGAAGGAGGGGAAGAGAGAGTCTTGTTAGGTTTTTTGCATCACTGAGAGAAGTCTGAAACTCCTCTTTTTCACAACCTGAACCCGAATGTCTGTCCTAATCAGGAAATCCCACAGAGTCTCTCCTCTGTCATTGAAAGAGACTTAACCTGGAGCTCTGAGCCAGTGCAGAACCTGACCAAGGCAGAGTCACTTCTGGTCCTAAATGTGGTATTCTATACTTTGCTTATTTCAGCATATATCTTATGTATTTGGAAAATCACAATAAAATAGAACAATTTATGCTTAGAGTCATAAAACCCTTTTGTCATGGCAGCACCTGGCACAAAACTGACCTAAGAACAGTGTGTGCAGACCGCCACCTTCTGGTCGCTCAGAGCACTGCAGGGAGGTTTATGTCTGGGCTCACACTGAAGTCTCCTCACTGTGCCTGTTGTACAGTAATACACGGCTGTGTCCTCGGCTCTCAGGCTGTTCATTTGCAGATACAGCTGGTTCTTGTTATTGTCTCTGGAGATGGTGAATCGGCCCTTCACAGAGTCTGCGTAGTACGTGCTACCAGCACTGTAAATTGCTGCAATCCACTCCAGCCCCTTTCCTGGAGCCTGACGGACCCAGCTCATGTCATAGCTACTGAAGGTGAATCCAGAGGCTGCACATGAGAGTTTCAGAGCCCCTCCAGGCTGGACCAAGCCTCCCCCAGACTCCACCAGCTGCACCTCACACTGGACACCTGCAAACACAGAGAATCATGATCAGAAAACTGTTACACTTTTCCTCCCACTCATGTCCACTCACACACTCAATATTTCTTGTTCTCTATAAATCACCTTTAAAAATAGCAACAAAGAAAATCCAGCACAGCACTAACTCCATGGTGAGTGGTCTATGTTCAGGGCTGATCACTGAATGGGGTCAGCTGGAATCCAGGGCTGGGCTCCTCTCCAGAGCTGCAGGGTCAAGGCTGGGCTTGTTTTCAAGAGCAGGGGGAGGCCTTATTTGCATATCCTCCTGCTATATAGCAAGCTCTTGTGGAAGATTCAGATTGCCAGAGTCCAGATCAGATGTGACCATCCTTGCAGAGATTCTGACAATGCCTGCATTAAAGAAAGAAAGAGAATATTTAGAGGGGAAACAGTGGAGGTAGAATGGGAAAGGACAGAGACCTTGGTTGATGAATATGATCAAAGCACTTTGCAGCTATGTATGAAGATAAAGTCACACCACATTGAACAATTAAACCGTTTAAAATTGTTTGAAAAATAAGGGAGGGAGGGCTGATCAGGAACCATAATAAATGGGGTGAGTTTGTTCATACATCCATATACACATTATATGAATGCATGCAAATAAAAAATGAAACCTATTTGTGTAATATACGTTAAACAAAACTAAAGTGAACATGAAGTTTCATGATGTGACAGATAATCATTATGAACACTAGGTCTTATTTAATTTTTTCTGTGAACACGAAACATAAAAGTATTAAATTTATCTTCTCTTCAAACATGTGAAAGTATAAAATAATCACAATGGTTGGTGCCATGTGTACAGGAGTTTATTACTTCAACCATCCACAACACTGATCCCTAAATCAGAGTGAGGCACACCTGGTGAGGAGTGCACAACCCCCTTTCTGTGATGATCACAAGTGTGACATACCTACATTATAGTGTTAAAAAGAATATAGAGAACCAGGGTTCAGTCAGATGCAGGACTTTTACTCTCTGGCATCTCATGGCATTGTTCCCCAGTCACATTTTGTACATTGACATGTGTTGTCTCTCTTTAACAAATTTACTGTGTTTCAGCACAGGATGTAATCAACTGCATGTTTATTGAGAGCATGTTTTATGTTTACTCCCTTACAGGATAGAATACTAATTGCATCTAAGAGGTTAGATATCCTGCATAGGACACACCTGTAAATATCACCTTGTTGATTAATAAACAAACATGAGCTTTCAGGATTGTATGCACTCAGCATCTTCCCACAGTGACCCTCAAAAATTCAAGTCCATTCTCCATATTGAATGAATTCCTCTGTTGCAATAGTCACAAAGGTCTTGTTCAAGTACCAAATATAAAATCTGAGTTTAATAATATGATGTACAAAGTTGGTATTAAATCAAATATGGTGGAGACTGCAGGAATGTGTTCCCCTGGCATTTAGTTGACACCCCCATCCCTAAATAGGTGATGTGAAAGAAGAGATGGAGAACAAGTCCATAGAAACTTAAAATTCAGTGGGTCACACATTAAACATCAGTGTTCTATTGATTCACACTGCACTAGGCACCGAACAAACAAACATTACAGCCTCAACCATATTCTGTTGTGTGTACCTGACTCAGGAGCCTCGTGTATGGGAGCTGGTTTCCTGAGCATTTCATGTCTAATTTTGCATAATGGATCCTCTACAGGGATGTCTTCATGGCTGATATACCACACCCATATGTCTCTACAGATTTTCCCTGTTGAGACTCCTGGACTGTGCATGCCTTGCCCCATGGAGGCTTTCTGAACTCTCTCCACATCAGCAGTGATTCTATGTCGGATCCTGTGGCTGTATGGCCATGCTTTAAAATCTACAAGGAGGCTTCCCTGCATCACAGCTCTAGGATTCTTCAGACCAGCAGAGTGAGCACCAGATGGACACCACCAAGGTTATTGGAATGTGGCCTCTGCAGGGACAACTGTCAAAGCCCACACTGTATCTGGATACACTGGAGCCTCACCAGTGGAGAGTGACGACTATGGTATGGGATTGTGTGAGGCAGAGACTATAGTTGATTGAGTTCAGTGAACTATGAATTCATTGAAGTGCTCTGTGTCACCTGTGATGCTGTCTTGCACTCATAATCTTGTACTGTGGTTCTGTGATGGAGTGACAGTTTCTGAAAAGCCTTTGGGTCATTCTTCCATTATCTTGATGAACAGCACCTGGCTACCTTCTGTCCACACCAGTCACCTCATCACAAGTTTCTCTGGCTGTTGCCTTGATAATCTAACCTATCCAGATCTCCCTCCTCTCCATTCGTTACAACATGGACAGGCTGAGACTTTCCAGATCTGTAAGTTTGACTTCCATTTGGTTTTAAATTCCAAACTTGTCCTGTTTCTCTTTTCTTAATTATTTTTTTACAAGAAGTCAGGGAAAATGGTATCATCCACTCTCTCTGTGTTTAGAGATCTGTTCAGTCACATGTCCTGTCTCACTGCCTTAACTTCTGACACAGCACAGGAGGGCATGAACACACTTCAGCCATGTCATGTACCACATTACACAAGGACATCCTGTCCTCTAGTTCCCAGGATCCTGTTGCTCATTTCCATCTGAGCTTTCATCAGGAATGCCTTCATCATCCATGATTCTGTCCACACCGTGACATGATCATTTAGCTGTCATGGTCATGTGCCACATAACACAGCTTCAGACAATGATGGTTACATGTAAGGCCATAGCCACCTAAGAATATAATGGAGCTGAAAGTTTCCAATCAGCTAGTCCCCTCTCAGCTGCTATAATGTCACAACATAGTGCATTTTGCAGGGGATTGACGAGGGGCTAGAGTTAGCAAACCCCCTGCACTGACAGTCTTATGGACATATATCCATATGGTTATGGATATTGAATATATGACCATGATCATGAAGGATGATAAGTTCATGATCCTGGGTTATCTTATCCTGGACTCTTGTCCTGAACTCAGTGTTAAGTGTGTTTTTCATCAAGTCCTAGGCTCATTCCTGTGTTGTTTTCATCATGGCCCTAATTATACATAGAAGTTTACTATGTTTCTGATAGAGTCCACATTGAGTGATGATCAGGGAATAGAAGTATATTGATTAAAGTGTTTGGATGTGCACAATCGTGTTGGTTATTGCCTTGTGGTTGTGATTTTCCCATTCCACGTTGCCTGTATAGCATCAATCCACTTTGCATTGTTCCCTACATGTCCTCCCCATCCTTCCCCATATATTCTTCCTTCTCCATTTAATGACTGTACGTTACTCATCACACTACTACAGAGGTACAGGAAATTAATTCACACAGTGTACTGGGGTTCCCAGCACAGTGCCTACTAAGTATCATGTGAACAAACTGAAAATGTGCAATCCATTTTACAGTAAGGAAGGAATGCGTGTTGTGTCTGAAAGTCTGACTTAATCAGACACCTCTCCTATTCTTTTCACGGCTTTCAAAATATCAGCAAAACAAGGAATTTTCAGGCAGGTAACTGGTGATCATCACTGGAACACAGAGCATTTGTATTGAGCAATGATGTGTGGTAGGTGGGTTGTGCATAGTGTGCTCAATGGTATAGGGAGTTGGGTCTGGGAGGACTTTCATCAATATGGCCATTAAACTTTCAAAAAATGGAATACCATGGCTTGATTTAGAGTTTCCTTGTTTCCATGGTTTGAATCCTGGATCTACACAAGACTCCAAAACATATCACAATTCCAGAAGCCTTGTTAGTTAAATGGCTCTCTTATTTATTGTCCCAGTGCCATCACCTGGGTGTGATTGACACCCAAAATATAAGTTCAAGTATGGATGCAAACACTAGTGTTGAACAGGCTAGGACCAGTCACTGGCTTATTGAGGCCTACAGAGTCATACACATTGTTTTGGTACTTAGTCAGAGATCTTCCAAAGTCAGAGAATGGAGATTGCATGTGAGTGAATTGTCATCTTTGCCTACCACTTGTAGTGATTCTCAACAGTGGCAGCCTTTTAGAATTAACCCAAGTGTTTAGAACTCCTATGTGCATGCCATAAGGGAAAGCACTGTCTATATAACCTCCCGTGTAGGATGGAGAGGTTAGTGTTTTTCAGCTTTTATGAGATGTAATCAACTAATACATTATACATGTTTCCCAAGGAGTTTAAATTATAACTGCCTGATTACCATAAGTTATTCAGAGAAAATTACATTCAAATGTTTCAAATTTTTTAAAGATAAAATGATTTTGCAATATACCCCTGAGAGTAAAGATACATGGAGTTGGGGATTGGACGTGTAGATCAAGCAATTGAATAGTATGCAGGCCTCAGATCAAACTCCATACTGTCACAAAGAAAGCCAAGATAAATGATCAATTACTATGTATTTAGATATCATTGATGTAAGAAAATTATAACACTACTTCATCCATAATTTCTCGGACCTGAGACTTTGATAAATTACCTGATACAAATTATGTGATATAGATAAAAGTGAATTCTGAAGAAGACAAGCAATTTATGTGCAAGAAATCATTTTTCTTTTTTTTAAAGTTTTAATTGACAAATAATAATTATTCATGTTCAGGAGATTCAGATTCCATACATGTTAGTATATAATGCCTTCAGTGTGCAAAAATTACCATGATTATCAGCCATTCCACCAACATTCAAATGTACAATTTCATTGTGGAAAATGCTGTCTTCTTCTTGTTGTGAAATGCACAATACATGATGGTTAGTGAAAGGATGGAGATGGAACTGAGAACTGTGTTCAATGAAATAAATCAAGCACAGAGCCGTTTTCATTCTTTTAAACCAGTTTCTCATTAGTGCCCAGGTGCTGGCCTGTGAAGACCAGGAGCAGAGTCCATGCTATCTGTGCTCTGCAGTGAAGGAGGAGAAGAAATGGAAACATCTACATACTGTGGTTTACAGTGGATTTATTGTCCCACTGTTCAGAGGAACCATATCCTTGCTCTCCCTATGTGTCCATACATCTAAGTTTCACCTGAAAGTGTGTGAGACCATTCACCTGTGGTGAACAAGAGCAATTCTGCCCACCTAAAACTCTTCACGCTAACTCAAATGAGAAATGTGGAGACTCAGGATCCCTGGATTGGAACTAGGAATCCTGCAAATTTCTGGGGTGTTGTTGGAGGAGGCCCAGGTCCTACCCATTAAACACTACATCAACATTTCCCCAAATGATACCC